TTGGTGGCTGCTACGCACGTTGTAGTGTGCGTGTGAATTGGTTTGGGTAGATTATTTTGGGTCTTCTTCAATTCTGATTCTGAAAATTTTGGTTCATCTATTTGGTGAGGTCTTTCCTCTTATTTATTTGTGATTATTTGGAATTCACCTAAGGGTGATTTTGTGAGACCATTAGTGTCTCATTTGTAATCGTTTGGAACTTATTTGGTTGATAGTGGAATCGGATTTCGATCCCGTGGACGTACCTCACATTGAGGGAACCACGTAAAAATTATTGTGTTGCTTTTGATTTAATTTTTTCGCATTAGTTTTTATTCCCATTGATTGATTTACTTGTGGGGAATCACATATTTTCCCTAACAACTGGTATCAGAGCTTACGGGTTATTTGAGTTTATTTATTTGTGTAAATCAATGGAGGGGAATGTGGGTCGTATGTCTAGCTTCAATGGAAGCAATTGGGTAACTTGGAAAACTAAAATGGAGGACCTATTATTTTGTAAAGATTTATATGGACCCATTGAGGGTGATTCTGGCAAACCCGAGGGTATGAAAGATGATAAATGGAATAGGCTTAATCGAAAAGCCATTGGTGTTATCCGTCAATGGATTGATGACAGTGTGTTTCATCATGTTGCTACTGAAACTTCAGCACATGATTTATGGAAAAAATTAGAGGGCCTTTATGATAGGAAATCAGCCACAAATAAAGCCTTTCTGTTTCGTAAGTTGGTTAATTTAAAATATAAAGAGGGCAGCCCTATTCCGGAACATCTGAATGAAATAAAGAGTATTGTTTCCCCCTGGATTTATCTCATCACAGAGGGTTGTGACAGTTAGTAATTCGGCGCCCGATGGAGTTGTCACAATGGGCCAAGTCACTAGTAGCTTATTGAATGAAGAAACTAGAAGAAAATCAGCGGGTTCCTCTCATTTGGAAGCATTTTTTGTGAGAGGCCGAAGCAAAACAAGGGGAAGGAGTAAGACTCCTCATGGTCGTGATCAAAGCCGTGACAAATCAAAATATGGTTCTTTTTCAAAGAAAGACATTGAGTGCTATTATTGCCATGAGAAAGGGCACATGAAGCGAGAATGCCGAAAGCTCAAGAATAAGGAGAAAAGGCATGACAAAAGTGTGGATAAGAAGCAAGAAGACACTACAACAGTTACTACCAATGGTGGTCTCATGGTCGTTTGTGAAGATGATTGTATCAATTTTGTGGGCCAAGAGAGCAATTGGGTGATTGATTCCGGTGCTTCTTTTCATGTGACTTCTCGAGTTGATTTCTTCCCTACCTACACCGAAGGAGATTATGATTTTGTTCAAATGGGTAATGAAGGTTTGTCCAAGATTATTGGCATGGGTGATGTTTGCTTAGAAACAAATTTGGGCTGCAAGTTGTTGCTTAAAGATGTGAGGCATGTTCCTGACATTCGTCTTAATTTGATCTCTACTAGGAAGCTAGATGATGAAGGCTTCAACAACAAATTTGGTGATGGAATATGGAAGCTCGCAAAGGGTTCTTTGGTGGTGGCTAAGTGCAAGAAGACTCATACACTTTATTCGATGCAAGGAAAAATTTGTAAAGGTGTTGTCAATGCACTTGAAGATGATACTTCTACCGAATTGTGGCACAATCGGCTTGTCCATATGAGTGAAAAGGAGCTACAAGTTTTGTTCAAGAAAGAGCTTCTACCCGGTTTGAAAGGTACACATCTTAAAACTTGTGTTCATTGTTTGGCGGGTAAACAACATAGAGTTTCTTTTCAGAAAAATGTTACTTCTAGAAAAGAAAATGTTTTGGAGTTGATTCATTCGGATGTTTGTGGTCCTTTAAAAGTTAGAACACATGGTGGTGCACTTTATTTTGTTACTTTTATTGATGATTATTCAAGGAAAGTTTGGGCTTTTCTACTAAAAACTAAAGATCAAGTTCTAGAAGTATTTAAGCATTTTCAGGCCATGGTTGAAAGAGAAACAGGGCAGAAATTGAAGTGCATCCGATCAGACAATGGGGGTGAATACATTGGGCCATTTGATGAGTATTGTCGCAGCCAAGGTATTCGGCATCAAAAGACAGTTAGGAAGACTCCTCAACAAAATGGAGTTGCCGAGAGGATAAACTGCACCATTGTGGAAAGAACAAGGTGTTTGCTTTTTTGTGCTTTTTCCGATGCTGATTGGGCTGGAGATCCTACTGACCGCCGCTCTACTACTGGGTTCTGCTTTTTTCTGGGTGATTCTCTTATTTCTTGGCGCAGCAAGAAACAATCTCTTACTGCTCGTTCCAGTACTGAGGCCGAATACTGTGCTCTTGCTGATACTACTCAGGAGCTTCTCTGGCTTCGTTGGCTTCTTGCTGACCTGGGTGTTACCTCCTCTGGTGCTACTGACCTCTTTTGTGACAATCACAGTGCTCTTCAAATTGCTCACAATGATGTTTTTCATGATCGCACCAAGCACATTGAGATTGACTGTCATTTTATTCGTCAACACGTTACTTGTGGTACTGTCCATCTCCATCCGATCTCTTCTGTTGATCAACCTGCTGATATCTTCACTAAAGCTCATTCTCCTGGCCGCTTCATTGAACTTGTCTCCAAACTCCAGTTGGTCGATGTTTTTCCACCTTGAGTTTGAGGGGGGCTGTTAATATATAATGTATATAGTATAATGTATAATGTATAATGTAATAGTATATTATAAGATAAAACATAGAAAGCATAGGGCATAGGATTCTCTTCTTCTTTCGGTTGTAAAGAAGAAACACCACTCACACACTTTCATTATTATGTCTTTTCCTTTCGGTGCTTTCTCTATAAATAAGCATCACTCTTGTAACCAACAAATATAACAATTACAACATTCATTCAGATATCTTACATATTTCACACCCATTAACCAAGCCAAGGCTATGATTTACACAATTGGTGAAGGGTCGTGGAGAGACATAGGGATTGTTCCTTACTATTTGATTAATCGTTCAGTCAATTCTTTCGTGAATGGTGCTCTTCATTGGCTTACTTTCACCCAAGATAGTCTCGACTTCATTCGTTGTTTTGATTTTGGGTCTGAGCAATTTCGGGTTGTTCCTGAACCTCCTGAGTGTGGTCTGCCTAGGAAGAATTTTATGGGTTTTGTACGTGTGGGTGTGTTAAGAGATAGTCTCTCCATTAGTGATTTTTCTAATCCCTTTCATTGGGATATATGGATAATGAAAGATTATGGCATTAAGGAGTCTTGGAGCAAAGAGTTCGCTATTGGGAATGTGACTGGTATGAGAGGGTATGGTGACTATTATGAAACAATTATGATTTTAAAGAACAGTGAAATTTTGATGCATGTTAACAAGGGTGTTCTCGCGCTTTATAGCCCTAAGGAAGGTAGGGTTGAGAAGTTAAATATTGATGGGATCAACATCAACCCTGCATTTTGTGGGGCTGCTCATATTCCAAGCTTTGTTTCCCTCAAGGATGTTGCCAAAGGAGAAAGCTTGAAGGTATACATCTATCTTTCTATTTGTTTTTGTTTTGCGAAGGTAAATTTTTAAAATTGAAATCATTGTGTATCATTCTGAGTTTATCTACCGTGGAAGCTCTTGTATATGTTATACTTCAAGACAATTTGTAATAGGTGTAGTTTGTTTACTATATGTCTTTGTTGACTTTTCTCAAATTTTTAATCTTGAACAAAATAATTTGGCTAATGCACTTTCGTAGATTCTGGACTATGTTCACCTGCACAATTATGTGCAGCTTTTAATTCTCTTTAAATTTCTTGGAGTTGGAGCTTTGACACTTTCTTGAGTTCTAATGCTTACATGGTAAGTGTTGGATGATATGTTTTAGAAGAACTTGTGATAAAAAATTGTCAGAATGGTGTCTTCAATTTAGAGTTTAAGGGGCCTATCTGTTGGGAATAAGCGTGTTTTTGTTAAAAGTTTAATTTGATTAAGTCTTTGCTTGTCCAAGTTTTTAGGAGTCTGTTAGTTTACCAAGTCCATAGGAGTCTGTTACAACTGTGGTTAGTCAGTTCCTAAATTTGTTTTTCCACAGTCAGTTAGTTCCTTATTTGTTGCTGTGTTAGTTCATGTACTCTACTATTTAAGTAGCTGATTACAGTGAATAAAGTACTTTAATTTTTCCATCAGTTTTTCTCCCAATTTCGTATCAGTGGTATCAGAGCCAAATACTCTGAATTGGAAAGTAGACAGTGTACTCAGAGCTGAAGCTCTTGTCTACACTCTGGTGTGTTTTTTTTATTTTTCTGAGCAATAGCAGTCAATCTCTCTTAATGGCATTAGAGACTTTTGTGCAACCTGTTATACCTAGATTTGATGGTCACTATGACCATTGGAGCATGCTGATGGAAAATTTCTTGAGATCCAAAGAATATTGGCATCTCGTTGAAACTGGTTTTCCAGAAAAAGTCTAGCACCTTGACGGATACTTAGAAAACGAAGCTGGAGGAACAGAGATTGAAGGACCTGAAGGTAAAGAATTACTTGTTCCAAGCAATTGATCGAACAATCTTGGAGACGATTCTCACCAAAGATACTTCAAAACAAATATGGGACGCAATGAAGCAGAAGTATCAAGGTACTGCAAAGGTGAAACGAGCACACCTTCAAGCACTTCGTGTGGAATTTGAGACTCTTCACATGCAACTGACAGAGTCAATTGAGGAATACTTCTCCAGAACCATGTCCATCGCAAACAAGATGAGAACCAGCGGAGACAAGATGGAAGACATTACCATAATCGAGAAGATTCTTCGATTGATGACCTTGAAGTTTGAACACGTGGTCTGCTCGATTGAGGAATCAAAGGATCTTGATGCCCTTTCCATTGAAGAATTGATGAGTTCTCTGAGAGTCCACGAGCAACGGATTAATCAGCATGTAGCAGCGGAGCAAGCATTGTAGCTACAATACTCATCCAACAACCAATCTTTCCAAAAGAAGGGATACGGTCAAGGAAGGGGAAGAAGCAGCAGTAACAATGATCACTCCACACATGGCAATCAAGTTCATGACCCCAAAGGTAGAGGTAAAGGACGAGATAATCATCAAAGTGGAAACCAGGAATCAAAATTTGACAAATCCAAAGTCAAATGCTACAGATGTCAAAGGTATGGTCATTATCGTTCTGAATGTAGGACTAAATTGTATCAAGAAAGGGGAGCAAAATCAAATTTTGCGGAGAAGGAAGAAGAGGTTTCTCTTCTTATGGCTTGCAACATAACTGAAGATACCCATAAAAGAATGTGGTACTTGGACACAGGATCTAGTAATCATATGTGTGGAAACAAGTCTATATTCTCTGAATTAGATGAGTCCTTCCATTCCACTGTCAAATTTGGAGATGATTCTACTATCTCTGTTATGGGGAAGGGCACCATTCAAATTCAGACTTCCAAAAGTGCTAAACAGACTATTTCAAATGTGTTTTATGTACCAGGTTTGAAAACTAATCTGTTGAGTGTAGGTCAACTTCAAGAAAAGGGATATGAGATCATCATTAAAGAAGGAACCTGCAGAATTCATGATCCAAAGATGGGTCTGATCACTCAAGTGAATATGACAGCAAATCGGATGTTTCCTCTATACATCCAGAATGATATCCTTCCTTGCTTTTCTGCTATGGTGAAAGATTTAGCTTAGCTATGGCATTTTCGCTATGGGCATCTGAACTTCTCTGGTTTAAAGTTGCTCCATCAAAAGAATATGGTGATTGGTCTTCCACAGATTGATCATCCTTAGCAAGTTTGTGAAGAGTGTATCATCGGCAAACAGCATCATGAACATTTCCCAAAAGGACAAGCATGGAGAGCCAAGATGGTGCTGGAATTGGTTCATTCTGATATTTGTGGGCCTATTAATCCACCATCCAATGGTAACAAAAGGTACTTTATTACCTTTATTGACGACTGCAGTAGAAAAACATGGGTCTATTTCTTGCAGGAAAAATCTGAAGCTTTCTTGGCATTCAAAAATTACAAAGCTCTTGTTGAGAAAGATGTTGGGAAATCTATCAAAACTCTTCGAACTGATCGTGGTGGGGAATACAACTCACGGGAATTTGCAAATTTCTGTGAGATGCATGGAATCAAAAGACAACTTACAACATCCTACATACCACAACAAAACGGTGTTGCGGAGAGGAAAAATCGTACAATGTTAAATATGGTGCGGAGTATGCTGAATAGAAGTCCTCTTTCGAAGAGTTTCTGGCCTGAGGCAGTCTTGTGGAGTATACATCTCCTAAACAGAAGTCCAACCATGGCAGTTCGTAATTGGACTCCTGAAGAAGCTTGGAGTGGTAGAAAACCGAGTGTCGACCACTTACGGATTTTTGGGTGCATTGCATATGCACACGTTCCAGACGAGAAGAGGAAGAAACTTGATGATAAAGGAGAAAAGTGTATTTTTCTAAGGGTTAGTGAGCACTCAAAGGCTTATAAATTGTATAATCCCATCACCAAGAAAATCGTCATCAGTCGAGATGTGATCTTTGATAAAGAGAAAACATTGACAAAGTTTGTCAATAGTTCAAGCCAGAACATTCCTATAAGCTTTGATGATGATGATGAAGAAGAAAGACATCCGCAGCCTACGGTTGGTGAATGACAACCAGTGCATTCTAGCTCTTCAAGTCAACCAACAACAACACTTGAAGAAGATCACTCTGAAACTTCAACCACAATGGCCTAAACGTACCAAAAAGAGACCAGCATCGATGCAAGATTATGAGGTAAGTGGTGTTGATCAATCTGATGACCCACTTGTACATTTTGCTCTATTCTCAGATTGTGATCCTGTTACTTTCCAAGATGCTGTTAAAGATCAAAAATGGCAAAAAGCCATGGATGAAGAAATTGCAGCTATTGAGAAAAACAACACTTGGGAATTGACAGATCTTCCTAAAGGACAAAAGTCAATTGGTGTGAAGTGGGTCTACAAAACAAGGCTGAATCAAGGAGGAGAAGTTGACAAGTACAACGCTCGCCTAGTGGTAAAAGGTTATAAGCAAGAATTTGGCATCGACTACAAAAAGGTTTTTGCTCCAGTTGCGAGGCATGATACCATTCGATTGGTACTTGCATTGGCAGCAAAAAACTCATGGCCAATCTTTCAGATGGATGTAAAATCTGCGTTCCTACATGGTGATTTGCAAGGGCAAGTATATGTTGATCAGCCTCCGGGGTATGTGCAACAAGGGAATGTGGAAAAGGTATACAAGCTAAAAAAAGCCCTGTATGGGCTAAAACAAGCTCCTCGAGCTTGGTATAGTCGCATAGCTACATATTTTTCCAAATCAGGCTTTCAACAATGTCCATATGAGCATACTTTGTTTATCAAATCTAAATCTACTGGTGAGATTTTAATTGTGTGTTTATATGTGGACGATATAATCTACACTGGAAACAATAGTGCTATGTTTGATGATTTCAAGCAATCAATGATGATTGAGTTTGAAATGTCTGATCTTGGACTGATGCACTACTTTCTTGGCATTGAAGTAGCACAATCTTCTGCTGGAATCTTTATTTCACAGAAGAAATATGTTCGAGAAATGCTGGACAAGTTTCAAATGGTGAATTGTAATTCAGTTACTACACCAGTTGAACATGGTCTTAAGCTAATCAAAGACCATGAAGGAAGGAAAGTAGACAACACTCTTTACAAGCAAATCGTTGGAAGTCTTATGTATTTGACTACAACTAGGCCAGACATTATGCACGCAGTAAGTCTTATCAGCAGATACATGGAAAATCCTACGCAGTTGCATCTCCTTGCTGCCAAAAGAATTTTCAGATACTTGGTTGGGACCATTAATTTTGGTATTCTTTATAGAAAGGAAGGAAATTTTGGGTTACTTGGCTTCACTGATAGTGACTATGCAGGTGATCCAAATGATAGAAGAAGCACCTCAGGTTATGTCTTTATGATGGGCTCAGGTGCTGTTTCTTGGTCATCAAAGAAACAACAAATTGTTACTTTGTCCACTACCGAAGCAGAGTTTGTTGCTGCTGCGTCGTGTGCTTGTCAAGCAATTTGGTTAAGGAGACTACTTGAAGAATTACATTATCATCAACAAGGTCCCACTCCAGTGTATTGTGATAGTAGTTCAGCAATCAAACTGTCAAAAAATCCTGTTCTACATGGGAGAAGCAAACATATTGATGTACGGTATCATTTCTTACGGGATCTCACAAAGAATGAAACCATTGATCTGATTTACTGCAAAAAGTGAAGATCAAGTTGCTGATATTCTAACCAAACCCCTCAAATTGGTCATTTTCGTGAAGCTGCGGAGATTGCTTGGTGTTTGTTCAATGGAGAATACAATTTGAGGGAGGCAACTAAATAAGCTGGTGAAGTTCTCTAAATAAACTGAATGTCAAAAGAGCACTTAGTTTAAGGGAGGGTGTTAAAAGTTTAATTTGATTAAGTCTTTGCTTGTCCAAATTTTTAGGAGTCTGTTAGTTTACCAAGTCCATAGGAGTCTGTTACAACTGTGGTTAGTCAGTTCCTAAATTTGTTTTTCCACAGTCAGTTAGTTCCTTATTTGTTGCTGTGTTAGTTCATGTACTCTACTATTTAAGTAGCTGATTACAGTGAATAAAGTACTTTAATTTTTCCATCAGTTTTTCTCCCAATTTCGTATCAGTTTTGGTTTTAATTTGAAATAGAATAGTGATTGGTAGCTCGAAAGACCCTTCCCCGAATCCCCCCGAAATCAAAACGACGTCATTTTCATCGTTTTGATTTTTTTTTTTCTTCAGAAGAAGAAGATCAGAAAAGAAGAAGGAAGAAGAAGAAGAAGAGAAGGAAGAAGAACTGAAGGGGCCATCAACCAGAACTGGAGGGGCCATCAACCATTTCAGATCCAAAACAAAAAAACAAAATCGAGCTGGGGCGGAGGCGTGACGATCGGCGACGGAGGCAGAGGCGGAGGCGAGGCGATCTGCGACGATCGGACGAGCTGGGACGATTGGCCGGGCTATCGGCAGAGGCGGAGGGGCCTCTCTCTCTCCATTCCCCCTCCATTCCCTCTTCCCCTCCTCTTTCTCTTCTCCTCTCTTCTTCTCTCCCTCTCTCTCTCTCTGTTTCAGGGGATTCGGGGAATGATTTTTCGGGGGAAAAGTCATTTTCCTTTGAAATATTGTCTACCTGATATTGTAGAATACCTATTATGGGAGTTGAAGTGACAATTAATATTGTGAAAGAGTAGTATATATATGTTGTAGATGATGTAGAACAGGACCTTTGGGATTATTCTTTCAACCAATACTATTGAGGTGGAGCATAGATCCCCTTCACCTTCCTCCTTTTCTTAACTGTGGTTGGATTTCTAAAACTTGAGATTCAGATTAAGAGCAGTATATTCATTACCCACCTCGACCCAAAAGTAAATAAATAATGAAATAAAAACCAGGGGAAAAAAAAAAGTGATAGGGAAACTTGGGAGAGCAATCTGATTCCTCAATCATTATATTTTGCTTTTCTCATGGCTCATATTAAAGCCCATGCAATTGATGCAAAATTTGAAAAATTATGACTTACAAAAAAAATCTTTTGAAAGACCTACATTGGCTTTTATTAAAGTATGATATCATCTGACTTATAATTTAATGAAACAGATGTGCAGAAGCTGAGCCGGTAGAAAACAAATCAACCTTTTTTTCTCGGAGGAATACTGATGAACAGATTGCAGTGGTGCTTCAGAGAGTGAAAGTTCTATTTTGGGTGTAGTTACGCAGGAGCTATTTCGGACAAGTCAAGAAAGCCAGGCTTGCTGTTAGCTACTTTGATTACCACAGCTTGTTTATGGATTTGAAATATGGTGAAGGTGCAGTTTCTTGCTTTTTGTCCTATTTCTTTATGTGTTTCAACACAAACAAGAATTGCTTGAGACTTTGAACTTCTGATTTTGGGCATGGTTTGCAAAAGTTTTGTAAATTGAAGCTTTTTTCACTATTTGGAATGAACTGAAAGGTAAAACAGTCAACATATGGTCTTGAATGAACATATTTACTTCTTTGGGTTCAAAAATATGTTACTGTAGGTAATGTGCTGTGTAGAATCTGTAGATGCACAAAAGAAGAGTAAATTATACAATTTGTTTTATTTTGGTCCCTAATATTTAATTTGTATTAATTGCATCCCTAAACTTAATATATTCATCCAATGTAATCATGTCCTTTAACAAACATAAAATGTTTCCGGCACCATCACATTAGGCATTTGAATTGAAGGGCATTTGGAGGAATATATTTTATTTCCTAACTAAATGAATCGCAAGTTAATCCTTAAATTCCCAAAATTTGAAATTTCTACTTTGTTATTTGTTGTGTCCAAACACTAAAATGGTTGAGAGCCAAATGTGGTGCTTTTAGCTCTTTGGTTATAGAAGTATTTGGCACTAATAGATGAGTTAGAATGTCGTTAATACCCTTCAATGTTTGATGTGAGGTTGATGGGAGTATTTACATGTTTAGTTTTATTGGGAAAATGTTAGAACTCAACCGTCTAAAATGGTGAAATTGTATTAGTTCATTCCATGTCAAGCTTTAGGACAGACTTGCTTATTCCTCATAAGTTGCCGATGACTGGTCCGAGTCCTCAAATATATATATATATATATATATCTTTTTGGT